AGGGGGAAATCAGGACTCGGCAGAGCAATGTCTGAGCAATGCCAAAGCAGTGCCAACACAATGCCAGCGTGATGCCAAGACGACCCCAACCCACTGCCAAAGCAGTGCCAATTGGGGAAATCCTTGATGGTAGATTTTAATAGGAATCCTTTAGTGAAGGGCTTCGCATGGAATCCTCATGTGGAGGATTTCACCATGAACCCTTTTTGTGGAGGGTTTGAAAAGGAGTCCTTCTTGTATGGAGGTTTCAACTGGAGTCCTTCTGTAGAGGGTTCCATCAGGACTCGCCAACTCAATGCTTACGAAGTGCCAGCGCAATACCAACGCATTGCAAAGCACAATGTCAAACCATTGCCAAACCAATGCCAATACAATGCCAACGGGGGAGTTCTTTCTTTGGAAGCATCTCAATAACAATCCTTCTGCAGGTGATTCCAATAGGAAACAACATGTGGAGGATTTCAATAGCAATCCTTCTGTGGAGTGTTTCGATCGGAATCCTCCTGTGGAGGATTTCACTGTTAACCCTCATTACGGGGGCGTTCAATCGGACTCCTTCCAGAGGTGAGGGCAGAGGGGGCCACGTCGAATTCTCCTCCTCCTCCTCCTCCTCCTCCTCCTCCTCCTTCCCGCAGAATCGAGCTGTTTGCTTCTCCTGCACCCCCCCCCCCTCAAAAAAGGAAAGACAAAAAAACAGAGAGGCGGCATTCCGGATTTTTTGTTTGGGGGGGTGGGGGCGCATGAGAAGCAAAAAGCTCGATTCTGGGGGAGGGAGGAGGAGGAAGGCGGGAGATAGAGGAACGAGGAGAGCGGAGCAACGCGGAGAATAGCGAAGAGTCCCTCCTGCACCCCCCCCAACCAAAACAAACGGATGCCGCTGAGCTTTTTTGGGGGGGTGCAGGAGAAGCAAAACCTCGATTCTTGGGGGAAGGAGAAGAAGGAGGAGGAGGAGGAGGAGGAGGAGGAGGAGGAAGAGGAGGTGTAGGAGAAGAGGACGACAGAGGAGGAGGGGAAGGAAAAGGGGAAAACACCATCCGAAAGGCGAGGGACTCCACAATCCCCCGTTCCCTTTTCGTCCTGAATCTTTGTTTGACGGCCCCGAGGCCCGGCGAGGGCCCCCCTAGGCCGAAAACGGCCAAAACCATCCCGACCTGATGTTCTTACAACGCGATCATGTCTGGGTTGTTCTGGGCCGTCTTGGCAGCGGGCGGCGGAACGCCGCATCTGTTCACAAAATCGACCCCCATCCCTGGAAGACGCGGCTATTTGTTTTAGCCGCGTTTAGCGGGGACGTTGCTCTCGCCTCAGCGCGGTGCAAGAGTGATTCATATTACAAGTTCTAGCCGGGAATAGCCGCGGATGGTTCTCGCTTGGGCGTGGCTTACGAGTGGCTAAACGTATCTACAAATATGGACATGTCTAAACAAAAAGTGGCGTGTCCAAACAAACGTGTCTAAACGTGGCTACTCGTGGCTAAACTTGATGTAGTGCCGTGGCTATTTCGTGGCAAAAACAAAAAAAACGTGGCTAACATCCAATCACGTTGAAGGATAGAGTCAGGCATGCGCCGCTTTTACACGTGAGAGGCGGAAAGCCAGAAAACGATGGCCGCAGCTGCAACACGTGAGCGTGCCAGCGACATCACATACGAGGCGCACCTTATTATATGATCTAGCGTTATGTCGGGCATGTCCTCCTACAGGTGGATTTAGGGCGAAAAATTCAGAATAGTCAAACAATGCTCAAGAATAGTCAAACATAGTCAAGACAACAAATCGTCCCCAGACTATGTTTTGACTATTTTGGAATATTCCTCCTGTAGAGGGACAGGCCCGACTTGAATCTAGCATCCAGCACGGTCCGTCGGCAGCAATTCGGCGGCGACGATAGGGGCGAATAGCCTAGGGGCGGGCATTACACGCATTCGCCTGGGAGCCTTGTCGAGGACATAGATCATCGGCGCCCCTGGATACATGTATTGCTCTCCCCTGGTCTACTCGCCCCAATCGTGGATCGGCCATGGACATCACCGCCGCCCTCATCAGATAAGGAATCTTCCAGGGTCTGCAGCCTCCGAAGCGCAGGCAGCACGAGGCAAATGGCACGATCGGAACAGGCGGAGGAGGAGCAGGAGGAGGAGCAGGAGGAGCAGGAGGAGGAGGAGGAGGAGGAGGAGGGGGAGGGGGGGAGGAGGAGGAGGAGGGGGAGGGGGAGGGGAGGGGGAGGAGGAGGAGGGGGAGGAGGAGGGAGGAGGAGCGGAGGGAGCTCGCTCCTCGCCTCCCTCCCCCAAGCCGCTGCCTTGCTGGCACCTCCCATTCCCCCCCCGGCTCTGACCCCCCCCTCCCCCCCTCCTCCCTCACCCCCTCCTCCTCCCCTCCTCCTCCTCCTCCTCCTCCTCCTCCTCCTCCTCCCCCTCCTCCCCTCCTCTCCTCCTCCCTCCTCCTTCCTCCATCCCTCCATCCTCCCTCATTCCTCCTCCATTCCTCCATTCCTCCAATTCCTCCATTCCTTCCATTCTCCTCCTCCTCCCTCCTCCTCCTCCTCCTCTCCTCCTCCTCCTCCTCCTCCTCCTCCTCCCTCCTCTCCTCTCTCTCCTCCCTCCTCCCTCCTTCTCCTCCATCCTCCCTTCCCTCCTCCTCCTCCTTCTCCTCCTCGTCCTCCTCCTCCTCATTCCTCCTCCTGGTCCTCCTCCTCTCCCCCCTCCTCTCCTCCTCCTCCTCCTCCTCTCCTCATTTCTCCTCCTCCTCCTCCTCCTCCTCCTCCTCCTCCTCCTCTTCAACCTGGTCACTCCTTATCCGCGGACTCACGGCGCTGCCACAGGCGAGAAGCTGTCATCTGGAACATGACGTCGTCCACCTGCTTCGCGCGGCCGATGCTGGCAGTGGCCGTGCGGCGCGCGCGCCGCATGTCTACCAGGGGGGCAAACCGCATGGCCTGCTCGTCGGCGTACGCCTCGACCTCGGCCAGCGAGATGCCGTCGGCATCCTGCTGCTCGCCCGGGGCGCCCTCCTCCGGGGTGGCCTCCGCCTGGGCCCCCGCGCCCGTCGAGAGCTCGGTGCTCGCGTCGCTGTCGACCTCGTGGTCGAGCTGGGTCCGCCAGCGCCCCGCCCGGGCGTCGGCGGTGCCCGGGCAGCGACGGGTGCCGTACGCCGCCGGCGAGTCGAAGGAGGCGCCCTTGCGCGCCTCGGCCGTGCACGTCGCCGTCGTGGGTGGGCCGACGGAAGTGGCCCGCGTTGGGCCCACGCACGGCCCCTGCCTCGGGCAGGGAGGGGCGCAGCACTCCGCCAGCGAGCCGAAGGAGACGCTCTTGCGCGCCTCCGCCGTGCACGCTGCCGGCATGGATGGGCCGACGGAAGTGGACGGCGCTAGCCACACACAACCTCCGTCTCGGAGCGGGAGCACCCCGAGGCAGCTCAGGGCCGCCAGGCCTCGGCCTCTCGAGCCAACACGGCTACTGAGGCCGCCGCATGGCTGTGTTGGGACGGTGTGTTGGGGCATCTTGAGCCTCGAATGCATCCTGGGGCCTCTCGGGCCACATGCGGGCGGTCTGTGGCAATTCTTGGAGCTGTTGGCCGTCTCCTCCTCCTCCTCCGGCCCTCGCGTCTCAGGAGTCCCACTCGGCGCCATCATAGGGGCCTCTTTGGGACCTTTTTGAAGCCTCTTGAGACGGACGAGGAGGAGGAGGAGGAAGAGGAGGAAGAGGAGGAGGAGGAGGAGGAGGAGGAGGAGGAGGAGGAAGAAGACTCGGCATTGCGTGTGGGGGGAGGACGAGGAGGAAGAGGAGGAGGAGGAGAAGGAGGAGGAGGAGGAGAAGGAGGAAGAGGGGAAGGGGGAGGAGGGGGAGGGACCTTTGGGGGTCCTTTTGACGCCTCTTGGTGGTCTCTTGGGTGCTCTTGAGACCCTCCGGGGCCGTCTTGAGGCCCTCGTCAGCGGCATCGGGCCCCCCTCGGCCGTCTGGAAAGCATTTGGGGACTATCCTGTGGCCCTCTCGGGCCCGACTTGGGGCTGTACTGGGCCCGTCTCGGGGCCACCTTGGGGTTCTTTGAGGACCCCCTCGCGCTGCGAAAAAAACACGACGAGAAGCTTTTCGTGTCTTCGGCCTCCAGGGCCCTTGCCGGGCCTCGGGACCCTCATATAACGACTCAGGATGGAAAACCGGTCCTGGGGAAGAGGTCCAGACCTCGGGGGGGGTCGACGTTGTGAAAAAAATCACGGCGTCGGGGGTCTGGGGGGCCTCTTGGGCAGTCTTGAAGCCATCTTGGCGGCAGCGGCAGCGTGGGCCTTCTTAGACTGCCGAAGGCGAGACCGCGGGAACCAGCCCAACAGCTCAGGCAAACGACTTCGTTCGGCCTCTGGAGCACTTCTGGGAGGTTCTCGTGGGAAGACCGCCCGAAAGTGGCTCCAAGGAGATAGCCCCGACCGATGCTGCCTCAAGACTTCCCAGATCCTCTCATCAGGACCGCCGGCGCGACTGTTCGAAAGCCTCTGTGGACCTGAAGAGGCTGTCCAAGCAGCCCGCAGACCATGTCGGACCACCCGATCACGGTGTCGAGCGCATTGTGTTTCTTCCCTTGGTGGCAACGCGTTCGGCGCTCCCCGAATGCCCGATAGGAAGGCACTTATGTCGGGCGTGTCCCCCTACAGGGGGATTTTCGACGACAAATTAAACATACCCCAAAAATACCCCCCAACAAATCAAAAAATACCCCAAACATAGTCCCCAGACTAAAATGTTAGACTGTTGTTGGGGTACCTTTTATTTTTCGTCGAAAATCCCCTTGTATGGGGGACAGGCCCGACTTGACGCGAAACGCCCGCGTGAGCTCGATGCTTTCTCAGTGCCAGCGGTGCCCGTCCATTGAGGGCCGCCACGGGCTCCCACGCTATCTGCGGAGGCCAAAGAAGGGAAATCGGCGGCGCGCACACGGGGGTGGAGGGAGGGGGGAGGGCTTCTTAGAAGGAGGCTGGTTCTTGGAAGGCGCCAGCCCTACATCTGTAGACAAGGGGGAAGGGGCAAGGCTTCTTAGAAGGAGGCTGGTGCTCGAGTGAGCTCGCGTGAGCTCGATGTTTTCTCAGTGCCAGCGGTGCCCTTCCATTGAGGGCCGCCACGGGCTCCCACGCTATCTGCGGAGGCCAAAGAAGGGAAATCGGCGGCGCGCACACGGGGGTGGAGGGAGGGTTGAGCAGGGACCGACCGTCCCGGCATTCCTATAGTCATACCTCGAAATGCTCTTAATGTTCTGAGAACAAAAACAAGGTTCTTAGAACATGAACCCGACGTGTTAGAACAAGACAGCCCCGGCCAGAAATGTTCTAATAACATTTCGTGGGAACAACAAACGGTTCTTAGAACATTGTTTGGTGGGGCTATAGGCACGCCGGGACGCTTCGCCACTGCTTGAGAGGGGGGAAGGCTTCTTAGAAACAGGCTGCTGCTTAGAAGGCGCCGGCCTCACATCTACAGATGAGGCCCGCGCCTTCTAAGAAGCAGGGGGGCCTCTAAGACGCCCTCCCCCCTCCCCCCACCCCCCTCTGCGCGTGGCGGAGTAGAGCGAATTTGCGCGATCCTGGAAGGAGCAGGCGGGGACCATGACCAAGACTGGACGCGGACACGCTGGTGCCGATCTTGGCCGTCGTCCATCGGGGTCGTCGACAACTCGTGGATCATCATGGCAAATCGGCGACGGCAGGCGCGAATCACGACCGAGATCGGCGTTGACGAGGTCCTGCGACATCCCCCGAGACCCGACGCGGAGAGAAACGTGCAACACCGCAACAATCCCACCCGGAGCCCTGGACCCCTCCTTTCTGCGTCATTCTTCGAGCCGGACCGATATGTGAGGCTCCTGGGGCTCGAAAAGAGGCGAAAGCGCCTGGCTCGAACAAATGGAGGCGCCAGGATCTCAGGGGTGTCCTCGGACGAGGAGGAGGAGGCGGAGGGGGAGGAGGAGGGGGAGGAGGAGGAGGAGGAGGAGGAGGAGGAGGAGGAGGAGGAGGAGGAGGAGGAGGAGGAGAGGAGGAGGAGGATGAGGAGGAAGGAAGAGGAGGAGGAGGAGGAGGAGGGGGGAGGGAGGGGGAGGAGGAGGAGGAGGAGGAGGAGGGGAGGAGGCGGAGGAGGAGGAGGAGGAGGAGGGGAGGAGGAGGAGGAGGAGGAGTAGGAGGAGGAGGGGGAGGAGGAGAAGGAGGAGGAGGAGGAGGACGCCAGGATCTGAGGGTCTTGGTCATGGTCATCGTGCTTCTTCCCTCGACAACTACCCTACGTTGCACATACCACTGCGGAAAAAAAAACCTCAGAAGCCAGCACCGGCCGCGACCTGCTCGCGCCACTCCGGCGGTGGCACGAAGAGATCCGTCGCGAAGCCGCCACGCCTGGCGAACCAGTTAGCGTAGCACGCCACCAGGGCGTGCGCGCCAGGGTACCTGATCACAAGAGGGAATCGCCACGACCATAAGATCCTGGTGTTGCAACTCTTTCCCAACCGGCGTTCTCGCTCAATTGCGGGCCCCTGGACCCTCACGGATCGATCCGGCCCGACAAATCATGCAGAAAGATGGGGTCGAAGGCTCTGAAATAGTAGTAGTAGTAGTAGTAGTAGTAGTAGTAGTAGTAGTAGTAGTAGTAGTAGTCGTCGTAGTCGTCGTAGTCGTCGTAGTAGTAGTAGTAGTAGTAGTAGTAGTAGTAGTAGTAGTAGTAGTAGTAGTAGTAGTAGTAGTAGTAGTAGTAGTAGTAGTAGTAGTAGAAGTATAGTAGTAGTAGTGGCCGTACTTGACGCACTAGTTAGTAATCGGAGTAGTAGTAACAGTGTAGTAGAAGTAGTTCGTAGTAGTAGTAGTAGTTAGTAGTAGTAGTAGTAGTCAGTAGTAGTAGCAGTAATTGACGTAGTAGTAGTAGTAGTAGTAGTAGTAGTATTAAATAGTAGTAGTAGTAGTAGTAGTAGTACTACGTAGTAGTTGTAGTGAAGCAGTAGTAGTCGTAAGTAGTATAGTTGTTACAGTAGTAAGTAGTAGCTAGTAGTAGTAGTATGTAGGAGTCGTAGTTGTAGTAGCAGTAGTTGTAGTAGTAGCGCAGGCACCAGGGGAAGTAGTAGTAGTAGTAGTAGTGATTAGTAGTAGTCGTAGTCGTGTAGTAGTAGCAGTAGTAGTAGAAGTTAGTGTAGTAGTTGTAGTAGTAGTGGTAGTAGTAGTAGTGGGACAAACTACTAATAAGTACTCGTATTTCGTAGTAGTAGT